ACCTCCCTTTCTTCATGTGTTCAATACTTTTTCCCTGTGTCATTCCACATTATTACAAATAACTTCATTTCTGGAAATTTATGGTTTGATTTCTTTTTATGTATGGATCACTTGGGTTGTTACCAACATCTGGTGAAAATTTCATGTCATTAGCACCTCTAGTCGTATATTTACTGAGAAAAATGGTGACGTGTTCAATACTTATTTTACCTGCTGTATGTTACATACATGTTACACCATTTGAATCTCTTGGTTGCAGCAGTAATCTTCGTCATTATCATTTTTCATTAGTGAATATATGAACAAGTGTGACCAATTTTAAGAACTAATTCTCTACCCCATCGTTAACTTTTACATTCACCATGTAAATCTGTTTAAATTCATTTTATAAACTGTTTACTCAAAATGGAAGGCAAATAGTGGCTTTCCTGATAGCTTGCCCCTATCTCTAATTAGCTTTTCCACAAAGATGTGCTCACACTTATCAATTAATGAACATAGCTAATGAACGTGTTCATCAGGGAGACTCTTTTCCTGCTCTGTGAACTCCAACCTTTTCCATCTACACGACAATGGTGGAGGGAGAAGGGGGTCAGGGTGTGTGCGTGACAGATCTGATTGCACCTGTAGCTTCTGTTCCAACCTTTCATTAACACTGCTATTCAAGAATTAATTTTCTGTGATTGCAGCAATCTTCTGCTCTTGCAGTCACTCACACACAACAGTTGTTTTACAATCTGTGTGCTTTTAACAGGCAAGCGTGGGCTTTTTATACCTCTCACATCACGAGATCCAGCTTCTGTCTGTTGCTAAGCCTCGTTTTGCTTACCTATTTTAGGCACAAACACTAAAAATCTACTACGCATTGCACACATTTTGAAATATCTTGTCACCTCACAGCCAAAACCCTGCTTTCGTTTGGATGTGAAAAAACAAAATGCTAAAAGGATTTGGTAAAAAAAAATGAACAAAATAAAATAAAATAAAATAAAACCTTGCATGATTGTTTTATATTTTCATATTTTGACCTTTTGTTTTAAACACTTTATTTTTTTAATCAATAATGCACCCCATGTTCTCAGTAAATGACAGGTCTGCATTGCAGGGGGACCATTTAAGCAGCTGGATTCCTATTACTGTGAAGCTATACTGTTGTAGTGCATGCAAAATGTCTTGGTCGGAAAAAAAAAAAAGTTTTTCCCTGGATAAAAAAAAAATGTCTGAATGGCTGCATATGTTCCTTGAAAGTCTCAACATTAATGATGCCCCCACAGATGTCCGCACCGACGTTGCAACGCCTGCCTTTCAAACTGTTTCCCTCTGAAACCAAGCCATATGTTTAATCTCCTCGTTAACCTCATGTCCATGTTGGTTTATCAAACCACAGGAAGATTTTCAATTTTGTCTTCATTCTACAAGAGTGCAAACTTAGTAAATAAATACTCTTTGAGAGCGTTTACTGACAGTTCAAAAGGCCTCTTCTAACCAGTCACTGTTTTATAAATAAAAAAGTGTATGTATGTATGTATGTATGTATGTTTGTGTATGTATGTATGTATGTATGTATGTATATGTATGTATGTATGTGTATGTATGTATGTATGTATGTATGTATGCATGTATGTATGTATATGTATGTATGTTTGTGTATGTATGTATGTATGTATATGTATGTATGTATGTGTATGTATGTATGTATGTATGTATGTATGTATGTATATGTATGTATGTATGTATATGTATGTATGTATGTATATGTATGTATGTATGTATA